TTCCTTTTATTCCTTTTTCTTGCCTGATTGCTCTGGCCAGGACCTCCAGTACTATGTTAAATAAGAGTGGTGATAGAGGGCATCCTTGTCTTGTTCCTGTTTTCAGGGGGATGGCGCTCAGTTTTTGCCCATTGAGTATGATGTTGGCTATGGGTTGGTCGTATATGGCCTTTATTATGCTGAGGTAGTTTCCTTCTATGCCCATTTTGTTCAGAGTTTTTATCATAAACGGCTGTTGGATCTTGTCAAATGCCTTCTCTGCATCTATTGAGATGATCATGTGGTTTTTATTCCTCAGTTTGTTGATGTGGTGTATCACGTTGATTGATTTGCAGATGTTGAACCATCCCTGTGTCCCTGGTATGAATCCCACCTGATCATGATGTATGATTCTTTTGATGAATTGCTGAATTCTGGTTGCCAAAATTTTGTTTAGAATTTTTGCATCTATGTTCATCAGTGATATTGGCCTGTAGTTCTCTTTTTTCGTGGTGTCCTTGTCAGGTTTTGGTATCAGCATGATGTTGGCCTCATAGAATGTGTTAGAAGTGTTCCATCTCCCCTAATTTTTTGGAATAGCTTGAAAAGGACAAGTATTAAATCCTCTCTGAAAGTTTGGTAGAATGCCCCAGGAAAGCCATCTGGTCCTGGGGCTTTATTCTTTGGGATGTTTTTGATTGCTGTTTCAATCTCTTTCCCTGTGATTGGTCTGTTCAAATTGTCTGCCTCTTCTTGAGTGAGCTTTGGGAGATTGTAGGAGTCCAAGAATTTATCCATTTCCTCTAGGTTATCCATTCTGTTGGCATATAGTTTTTTGTAGTATTCTCTTATAATCTGTTGTATTTCTGCAGAGTCTGTTGTTATTTCTCCTCGCTCATTTCTGATTTTGTTCATTTGAGCTTTCTCCCTTTTTTTCTTTGTAAGTCTGGCTAGTGGTTTGTCAATTTTATTTATCTTCTCAAAAAACTAGCTCTTTGTCTCATTGATCCTTTCTACTGCCTTTTTCGTTTCAATAGTATTTATTTCTGCTCTGATTTTTATTATTTCTCTCCTTCTGCTGACTTTGGGCTTTATTTGTTCTTTTTTCTCTAGTTCAGTTAGGTGTGCTTTAAGGTTGCTTATTTGGGATTTTTCTTGTTTGTTAAGATGTGCCTGTACTGCGATGAATTTTCCTCTTAATACAGCTTTTGCTGCATCCCATATGAGTTGGTATGGCATGCTATCATTTTCATTTGTTTCCAGGTATTTTTTTATTTCTTCAATGAGCCATTGCTTGTTCCGTAGTGTGTTGTTTAGTCTCCACATCTTTGTGCCTTTCTCAGCTTTTTTCTTGTAATTAATTTCTAGCCTTATAGCACTATGATCTGAGAAGATGCTTGTTATTATTTCAATTTTCTTAAATTTGTAGAGGCTCACCTTGTTTCCCAACATATGGTCTATCCTAGAGAATGTTCCATGTGCACTTGAGAAGAATGTGGATTCAGCTTTTTCAGGGTGAAGCGATCTATATATGTCTATTAAGTCCAATTGTTTTAGTTTTTCATTTAGCTCCACTGTTTCCTTGTTGATTTTCTGTCTGGATGATCTGTCCATTGATGTGAGTGGGGTGTTGAGGTCCCCTACTATTATTGTGTTGTTTTTAACATCTTCCTTTAGGTCTGTTAATAGTTGCTTTATGAATCTTGGTGCTCCTGTGTTGGGTGCATAGATATTTATAAGCGTTATTTCTTCTCGATGAAGTGTCCCTTTGATCATTATATATTTTCCCTCTGTGTCTCTCTTTACCTGTCTTATTTTGAAATCCACTTGGTCTGATATGAGAATTGCAACACCTGCCTTTTTTTCCTTGCTGTTTGCTTGAAGTATTGTCCACCAACCCTTCACCCTGAGTCTGTGTTTGTCCTTGGGGCTGAGGTGTGTTTCCTGGAGGCAACAAATTGTTGGATTATGTTCTTTAATCCATTTTGCCACTCTGTGTCTTTTTATTGGAGAGTTCAATCCGTTCACATTGAGAGTGATTATTGATGCATGTGGACTTAGTGCTGTTAATCTGTCGCTCATTATCTTGTTTTCCTGCATTTCTTTTCCTGTTTGCTTTAGACTACCCATTTAATACTGCAATTTCTTATGCTGGGTTTCTTAGATTTTTCCTTATTTATGATTTGTGACTCTGTTTCGTACTTTATTTTTAGTGTCTACCTTGAAGTTTGTATTTAGAATCTCGTGTATAATATAGTCTATTCTCTGGTGGTCTCTTACTTACTTGACCAATACTGATTTAGACCCTTTGCTCTTCCCCTCCTAAATAATTATTTTCATTTTTTATTCCAACTCGTCTTATTCATTGGTAGAGTGCTAAGATCGTCCTTGTTTTGGTAGTTTCCTTACCTTTACCCTAATGCTATAATTGAATATTTGCTATCCTGTTCTGGTTCTATCCATTGGTCTCCCTAGTCTGTGGATTGTGTCCCCTTTCTCCCTTTTTTCTTTTTTCAGGTATGAGAGCCTTCTTGAGGATTTCTTGTAATGGAGGGCTTTTAGTTACAAATTCCCTTAACTTTTGTTTGTCTGGAAAATATTTAATTTCTCCCTCATATCTGAAGAAAATTCTTGCAGGATAGAGTATTCTTGGCTGAAGATTTTTATCCTTTAAAGGTTTGAATATGTCACTCCATTCTCTCCTAGCTTGTAGGGTTTCTATAGAGAAATCCGCTGACAGTTTGATAGGGGCTCCTTTATAGGTTATTCTCTTTTTTTTTCTTACTTCCCTGAGTATTCTTTCCTTATCTTTCCTTTTTGCCAACTTTACTACTATGTGCCGTGGGGTAGCTCTTTTTACATTGACAAATCTAGGAGATCTAAAACCCTCCTCTACACACATTTCTCCATCGATCCCTAGATTTGGGAAGTTCTCTTCAATGATTTCATTAAGCACACTTTCTGCTCCATTTTCCTTTTCCATATTCTCGGGAATTCCTATGATCCTTATGTTCTTACTCCTCATTGAATCCATTATCTCTTGGAGGTTTTCCTCATTTTTTTTAATTCTTAGTTCTCTTTCCTCCTCTGTCTGGCGCCATTCAGCCTGTCTATCTTCGATTATGCTAATTTTCTCCTCTATGTTGTCTACACGGGCATTCAGGGAATCCATATTCTGTTTTATCTGGTCCATTGTGTTTTTCATCTCAAGTAATTCTGTTTGATTCTTCTTTATGATTTCAATCTCTTTTGTGAAGTAACTCCAGAACTCGGCTTGTTTCTCTATCTTTCTCTCTACCTCATTGAGTTTTTTGATTATAGCTGCTCTGAATTCATTATCACTTAGTTTACCTAATTCCAAGTCCTCAGGACTTAATTCTATGTTTTTATTGTTTTCCTTCTGGTCTGCAGCTTTTATAAATTGCTGGATGGTAGAGGAGCGGATTTTCTCATGGTGGTAGAATTCAGTTGCAGTTACAGCCTGTCGCCACTAGATGGGGGTCGAGAGTCGCGTGTTATGAGCTCTCCGCCTTGGGGCAAGATGGCTGCGCCCACTGGCTTTGCCCGGCGGGGGGTAGGGGGGAGGGGCTGTTACTCACACGTGCCAGTCTGGGTTCAGATCGGTTCTGTTCTCTGGTCTCCCAAGGCCCTTGATTTATGGGAGTCCCCACGGACGGAAGCTTCCCCCCGTCAGTGGGTCTCCACTGAATCAGCGGCAGGAGTCCTGGATGATCCCCCGGTCACGCAGCCCCTCTCCCGCTCCTTCCCCACCCGCGCCACAGCGATCGCAGACTCTAGGGGAGGGAGCAGTATTCTCTCCTACCGTTCCAGCGCCTCTGAGGGTGTAAGCAAGGTTTATGATCTCCGCTTTCTTGGTATTGTAGGTCTCTAACGAGCTGGCATTATGTTTATTCTCTGAAATTCAGTTCTTCCAATCTTTTGTTGTATTTTGGGGGGAGAGAATCCCGGGTCAGCTCACCCTGCCATTTTGCTCTGCCTCTAAGTCTTGAACTTAGTTTTGATTGCTGTTAACTTTTTCAAAGCATCAGTACACTCATGAGCCATTCATTCACGCATGCAAAAATATTTTAACAAGTGCCAGGTCCATATTAGGTGCTGGAGATATAGCACTTAACAACAATTTTAAAAAATCCCCAAAATTCTTTACTTTTGTGAGGTTTCCTTCTAATTAGGAGAAGAGACAATAAATATATAAGTAACATGGATACAGTATGACAGAAGGTAATAAATATTACAAAGAAAATAAAACGAGAGATGATTTTAATTTTAAAGAAGATAGTGAGGAAGGGTCTCACTGAAAAGGTAGCATTTGAAAAAAATTACGGAATGAATCATGAATTTGCATGTCATCCTTAGGTTGAAACCATGCTGTGCATCATTCTAGTATTAGTTCATATGTGTACTGAAGCAAACACATAAATAAATAATAAAAAATGGGAATGACAACACTGTAGCTACATGGGGTTATTAAAAGGAGAAAATGAGATAACAGAGGTAAAGCACCTAGCATAGTATCTGGCACAAAATAGAAGCTTCAAAACGTTAGTTCCCTTCCCTTTTTCTTTCAGATCTATAATGACAGCTTTACTCTCAACACTTAAACAAGATACAATAAGGTACAGTAAGATAAATGCTGGGTTCATAATCATGTAACCATGGATTATCAATGAATTGCTTTACAAATCACTAAAACTAAGTATTTATCAATATCAAAAATATATAGATCATATACCATGCTATTGTCCTTAAAATAAAATGGATCATAATGTTCCCTATGATCAGACAGCAAAACATTGGACAAGAACTGAAAATATGAAAGAGCCAATTCTGACAGTAAAGCCATTCTAAAATTGCATCCTGCTTCAAGGAGAGTTAAGGTCAACTGAAATGTCTTAACTATGTGGTAAGATTCCAAGGAATTAAAATCCCCAAAATGTATAACCACACCAGTATAACACAGAGGTAGAAATTGTGGCTCAGGACGGTTTCTACCTACCTACCATATTATCTTTCTCTTGATCCTGCTTCTTCAGGTAGCTTAATACAGACATTGTGTCTTTCTCCATTTTGTACTGACGTTTCTTTAAGTCCTCATTACTTTTTGCCAATCTCTGGGAAGTATCACGGTACTCCATCCTAGAGAGTTCTGTGACTTCCAGCCTGGCCTCCCAAAGAGAGGCATTGGCCTTGGCTCTGTCCACCACAGATTCATCAGTTTTTACTGGCTTCCTGCATGGCAAGAGGACATTGACAGAATATAACTATTTCTCTGCAATATTAGTATTACACCTATTATTGTTTGTTTTGCTTGGTATTGCCTGGCACACATGAGCAAATATGGTTGGGTGAATGAGTCGATAAGAAATAATTATTTACTTGATAAGGGAGTTAAGTAGGTGCCTCTTCCTAGAAGAGAGGAGCTTTGGAGCATAACTCTAAAGGACTGGAAAAACAAAGAAGAAAGGCATAGTAAGGCAAATTCATTTCATAAAGCTCTTACAACTTTTCATTTACTTCTGTGATTCTCTCACATCTGAACTGTCTTTTCTATTCCTACTTACTCAGTTTTAGACCTTGGCTCTCCCCAGCGCAAATCTATTACCTTAGTTCCCCTTCTGCATGCTGATACATTCATAGTGCAAGTATAAGTCCATAGTTCTGTAATCTTCCACCCATCCCAACCACAGTTTTGTTTTTGTTTTAGGTTTTTTGGGGGTTTTTTTTGGCTAGGCCTTAGACAAAAGATAAGTCACTAGGGCAAGTATGTTAAACACTTTATCAATTGGTACCACAATGCACCAGGCTTCAAGGATGGCTGAGAAACCATAGTCATTTATACAGAGGCGGAGAGGAAATTTAAAAATAATAATAATAAAAGACAGCTTCTAAGATTAAAGTGATAGAGATTTTTCAAAATAAAGATTTATTGCATGAGCATTAACAGTATCCCTTATATATAGTAGGCACTGAGTATATAAATATTTAGATAACTAAGAAAACTTCACCTATATTTGAATTCTATGTATTTTTACACATATGTATGTGTGGACCTTTCTATACTGTCACCCTCCATCCTCTACCCCCAACTCCTGGTTCTCAATCCCTTTACCGTCCCACTGTCACCTTTTTTTCTCTTCAAATTAAAGCCAGTAGCATCCTCAACCCCCAAGCCTGTTATAGCTGTTGACTTTCGTTTCCAGCATGACTTAGGCACTAGTGCTAGACTGCCTTGCTACAATCATCTAATTGCTCCCTGAAGGTATCAGGTCTAAACTGCTCAGAGTCTTTGATGCGAGAAATGAGACAGGGGGCTGGCCCTGCGATCGAGTGGTTAAGCTGGCACGCTTCACTTTGGCAGCCCAGCGTCTCAATGGTTTGGATCCTGGGGTGGACCTAGCACCGCTCATCAAGCCATGCTGAGGTGGCACACATAGCAGAGCCAGAAGGACCTACAACTAGAATATATAACTATGTACTGGAGGGTTTGGGGGAAAAGAAGGAAAAAAAAAAGGAAATTGGAAACAGATGTTAGCCCAGGTGCCAATCTCTAAAAAAAAGAAAAAAAAAGAACTCAGATAGTATTTCTTATAGGAGGACCACTAATACTGACTGCAAAAACAAAACAGGTTTTCCCAAATTAAGAATCGTGGAAAGTCCAAGGAATAAGATCTGTTACCCTCAATGTTCCTCATTGTTGACATGTGTACTGTAGATGTGGGTCAAAAATAGAAAAGACATGCTAGTGAGTTCCCAGAATGTGATAAGCCCTTGGCACTTGTAAAAAGTGCTAGACTAACTATGTGGTTATTTGAAAAAAAAAATGCACTATAGCAGAATACTTATATTAATTAATACATGAGAGAAAAAAGCTACAAATAAATATGTACATTGGACTACCGCTTTATAAAGAAAAAAAGTATATCTCAAAAATGATAGTAGTGGTTATCTTTGGATGATGGGATTACAGGTGATTTTTGTTTTCTCCTTTGCCTTTCCACGTTTCCCAAACTTTGTACCGAGCGCATATTACTCTCCTAAATAGTTACTTTATAAAGTTTACCAGTTTGGAGGATTCCCTTGTGGTCCCATATATAGTATTGTTGGACACCATGTATAACTCCAACGTGTCTAGGAACCACTAGGGCCACCCAATAGGTCTAGCGGCAATCTAGCAACAACTCCAAGCCTGCAAAGTGCTTGAGCAACACTCACTTCAGTTCTCATCAGTTTCAGGAAACCTGAACAATTACCCAATTTGGTCAAATCCTTTAGGGTTTCCTTTGAACTAAAAGAAATCCCTGCAAAGGTTTAAGGAACTATTTCAATCACCCAGAGATTCTCTAGATGGATCATCTCAACCACATAGCAGACATCTCTCAGGCTAGGGGCAAAAGAGAATGAACCGAGAGCACAGTTCTTGTGGAAAAAAGAGAAGATCCAAGTTGAAGCATACACAAACAGACACCTTAACGTGTTTATTTAACAAATAGTAAGTGTCTGCTATGATCCAGGCTCTCAGCTAGGTGCTGGAGATATGGTGAATAATGCTTAGTGCCTATTCTAGAGAGGCTTATAGTCTCGAGCAGGGTTTCCCAACCCTGGCACTACTGACCTTCTAAGCCAAATCATTCTTTCTTTGGGGTGGAAGTGGGGCTTGTCCTCTGCATTGGAGGACGTTTAACAGTATCTTTGGTCTCCACCCACTAGATGGCAGTAGCACACATCGCTAGATGTGACAACCAAAAATGTCTCCAGGTATTGCCAAATGTCCCCTGGGAGCCAGAATCACCCCTGGTGGAGGAACCACTGTCCTAGGGCAGTGTTATCCAACAGAACTTTCTGTGACGCTGGAAATGTTCTATATCTAGGCTGCCCAGTCACCACATGTGCCTACTGTGCATACGAAATATGGCTAGTATCCCCGAGGATCTGGTTTTTAAATTTTATTTCATTTTAACAGCCACACGGCTGGTCACTACCCTATGGGACAGCGCAGGTCTAGAGGACCTCCAGCATCCCAGGAAATGTTCTCCTGACCTCCACTTCTGGCGTCAGAACTAACTCTTCCTCCTCATCCTCAGTTCTTCGTCCCTCCAGCAGCACCTGTTTCCTCCGGTCTTGCGTTATTTCTATTTGGGAACTCGTCCGCCTCCGTCGTTAGTGCATCACACACAAGCAGGGGCAGTGTCTAAATTATTTCAGGGTCCCAAATCTCACACTCTCTTGTCTCAGTAGAAGCAGCACGGTTTGGTATGCCTTTGGGAATTTCTGAACAACAAGAGCTGTCCTTTTCAGAAGCTGGGAGACCGAGAAGACGGTCACAGAAGGATCCAAGAGGGCCGGCGGGAGGGCGCCGGTTAGCCAGCCACCCCTCTCGGCGCCCTGCGTCCCGCCGGCCCCCACCCAAATCTCCGGAGGCGGGGCCCGGGGAGAGGGGACCCCAGAGCGGCTCCTCCTTACTTCTTCTCTTTGCCTTTACTCTTCCCTTTCCTTTTGTCCTTTCCCTTTGACGGCATCTTGGCTTCTCCGGGGACCCCGCCGTCGTGGTCGCGTCTCCGCCGCTGCCCGGGCCCAGCTCCGTCTCTAAGGAAACCGGAACGCCAAGAGTGTAACGTTCCCCGAGGGCCGTTGCGGGCGCGCGGAGAGCGCACGCGCCCGTGACGTAGCCCCGATGCCAGCGCGCGGGGCCCCGGCCGCGGGGGCGGGGCGGAGATCGAGCCGAGAGCGGTCTTCGGCCGCGCCAGGGTGGCGGGCGCGCGCGCGCGGTGAGTGTGCCGGCGACGGCTGTGCCAGAGCCTGCCCGGCTCGGGCTGGGCGGGCGGGCGGGGAGGCCGGAGCGGGTCGGCCCAGGGGGTTGGCGCGGCGTCCTGCAGGCCGGGCGTCTCGGGCGGCGCGACGGTCGGGGCGCTCTCCCTTCAGGAGGCTCGCTTGCCTGCGCGTCCGCCCGCCCCGCGCCAGTTTTGCAGCGTTTCGCGTCTCGCCCGCGCGTCCTCCCCTTCCTCGCCTTGCTCTCGCCGCCGAGCCCCTCACCGCTCCGGAAGCTGCCCCGATCCTTTCGGTTTTCTGCTCCACCTCCTGGCTTCTGCCTCTCGCTGCTTCTGTAGGGGATGGCTCATCCAGCAGACTCCCCAGGCCAAACATTTTTTGATGAGGCGGTTGAGGACTTTCCCGAGGGCAGCGGGTCGGGGTGAGGCCAGCAGCCTCCGCGGGGCGGCGCGCACGGGCGTCCGGACGCCGCGCTCCCGCTGTCGGGAGCCGGGCGAGGAGAGCAGTGCTGCGGCCTGGGGCGGGAGAGGCTCCGGGGCACGAGGATGGTCCTCGGCCCCATCCAGTCCTGCGTGGCCGGCGCCCTCCTCCCAGAACTGGCCCGGGATTCCCGTTTGCTGATACGTCCTGCGTCCGCAGCCCCCTTTTCTGCAATTGGCATAAAGTTGAAAGCTCTTGCCTTTGCGTGCTTTTTTTTCCCCCCCTGAGCGCACCTCTGAGAAGGAGTACTCAAAAGTATTGTTCTCCTTTTTCAGAGGAGGAGCTCTGTGATTATGCCTTCATTCGATGAGAGTGAGTGAGTGAGTCATTCATTAAGGAAGATACGGTGTTCTGGGCGCCAAGACAATAGTTGGGAGACTTGTGATTCAGGCTCTGCGTGGTCCTCCATTTCAAATTGAATTAAAAAAAATTTTTAACTTCATGTAGATCTTCCTTCTCCATTTCTCCAGAGAGAACTTAATCCCTACACCCGTTCCGAAAGTCTTTGACCTCTAATGCTCTCCCCCCACGCCCACCCTTTTTTTTTTTTGACTTATATAGTTTCTATTTTTGAATTGTGTGGTTAGAGGGAACATGCTGATTTGGTAATGAGCACTGAAAATCTTTTTTTACATACCATCTGCTACTGTGATCGTGGCTTACTCTATTTTTGTTGCGTTTTCCCCTCTATTTGTACGTCACACTCCCGTGGATCCATGGTGGAATCATCACACCCTGAAGGGGTTTCCTCTGATATGGCATCTATAAAGTTACAGTTAATTTTGTATGTCTGAAGTTCTGAAAATGCACCCTATTGATAACTTGCAGAAAAGAAAGGGTAGGGCATCTTCTCTCACAGGCTGTAGATTTGGAATTCATTCTAAAAATTGGTTACTGGATAATATGAAAGTCAGCAGAACACTTTCGTTGTTTGAAAGTAGGCTTACAGACTCATTCATAAACGTGAAAATGTTACTGTAACAAGGTTATTTCTTCATATATGCATAGAACTTTAGTTATATGTACCTTATAGTTATTTTATCATACAACATATTTTTATTGACTGTAAGTTTGATTTTGTAGTTAAAACTGTTGTGACATGAATGTGGCTAAGAGAAATGCCCAGATTCATACTGTAGTAGAGATGGTTCCAGAATCTACAGTCTTCTAAACTTCCACATTCTCTGCCAAAAAACTAGATGCTATTACTCAGTCTGTTAGTAAGAACGGTGAGGTACAGATGGTACAGTAGTAAGTTGCTATTTAACAATTCATCCGGTAGCATTTCCTTCCATAATTTCTGGTAGATAGTTTTATTATGAAGTTTCAGGATGATTTTGTTTAATAAATTTACTTTGTTTCATTATTTAGAATGCTAATGCTTTTGAAACTTGGAATAAGCCACTTAGTGTTTTGTTGACTTGGCCTTGTTATTCTTCTTTTGCCCAGTTTGCATGGTTCCTGGTCAACGTAGAAATGTGGAATGTCTTGGCTGAATCCTCGTGCCGACAAGATCCTTATGGTCCCGGTAGGTAGGGCAAGTATCCGAATGTAAGGTAATATGCTAGCTTGAAACTATAAATGTACTTCATGTGCTCCTGGGGTGGGTTTTTTTTTTTCCTGAATTGGATTCTCTGTCTTTGCCAAATGATGTTAACTTTTCTCTTGTTCCATTGATTGTAATACCATCAAGTACGGCGTTGTTCAGAAAGCCAAATAATAACTTAGGACTATATCAAAATATATAATATTTGTAATTTTTTCTTCTGATAGTTCTCGAATTGGGATTACTCTGTAAAGTCATTTGTTGCTTTTTTCTGGTTTAGCTTGGAGATTAAGTTTCTACTCATAAATCATCTTTGAAATCACCTGATAGCAAATAGGGGGAAGAGACTAGGTGAATAGCTTTTGACTTTGTTCACACAATCTTTAGAATCCTGAATAAATATGGTATCATCCAAACTATATCTGAAGAGACCGAACAATATGTCTGAATATTATGGGGAGTTAATTAGTTTCATCCCACTTTTTTATTGCATGTGGTGCAAATATAGAATTCTACTAAATAGGTATTATCTTGTGATATTATGACTAGTTCACATTCCTACAGGTGATAAGGAATCCTGAAGATCAAGGATTTAATCTTACCAATTTTAAAATCAGTTTTTTTTAACATTCACTGTTTTATTTACATACAAAATGTGTTGCCACAGATTATTGTTACCTACTGGCAATTTATTTGCAAAATATCCAATTTTTATCAGTTGTCCATCGTGACAAAGTCTTTACCCAGGACTAAAAGTCAGTTCTTTAAGAAAAATTATATACCCAAATCTCAGGCCCACTTATCTGTACTTTCATTTCATGGATCTGTTAAATGTTCATTCATTTAAGAAATGTTTAGTGAGTACCAGCTGTGTACCATGCTGTCTGATAGCTTGAGGGGTACAGTGGGAGGCAAGACAGGGCCCCTGCCTTCAAGTGGCTTACAGTCAGGTATATAAGGTACTGACCTGGACATTGATCTCCAAGAATACACCTCATTGGCACCTATACACAAATGGTTAACAATAAAAAACACCAAGCAGTGATGCATCATGGGGAGATGGCATGGACCCTAACTGCTACAGGAATTTGGAGGCATGAAAGACTGTCATAGTCAGAGAACGTTTACAGGAGTAGGCTGAAAGGAAGAGGGGAGGCTTTCTGGGAAGTTAGAAAATGTGAGCAAAATTCAGTGTGTGCTTGAGACAAGAAGTAATTTAACTAGTGGTTCCCAAAGTGTGGTCCACAAACCAGTAGCATCAGCATCACTTGGGAGCTTGTTAGAAATGGAAATTCTCAGCCCCGACTTGAGACCTGCTGAATCAGAAGTACTGGCAGTGAGGCCCAGCAAGCTATGGTTTAACAAGTCCCCCAGGTGGTTCTGCTGCATGCTAAAGTTTGAGAAGCACTGGGCTCTAGAACGGAGGGTTCTTGTATGGAAGTGGTGGTAAGGTAGCCTGGGAATCCACAGTGAAGGACTTAGAATGTTAGGTAAGGAGTGTGTCTTTTATCCTATAGAGAAGAGTCACCGACTTGTAACTCAAAAGCTGGATTTGGCCCATAGATGTGTTTTGTTTGGCCTGAATGGTGGTTTGGGGGGGGTTTGTTTTTTATTTTTAAGTGGAATTAGTTGTCATTGTTTAAACACCAGATTCTACATTGAAATTGGTGCTTTCAGCTTATCTTGAAAAATCAAAAGACCTGACAATACCGAGCCTGTATTTCATCATGGCAGCGATTTATGGGAACAGCAAGCAACTGCCCCTTTAGGTGGGACATGTGCTCTCCCATTTGCCACAGTCCCCCCCCCGCCTGTTGTTTTACACACACTTTTACTCACATTCCTGCTTAGCCCCAGTGGGTATTTAGGTATTTAAGTTTGTAACTTCTGCTGTAGACAGTGGGAAATTGATGAAAGTTTTGAGAAGGAGAGTGACATGATTTATATATTCATTAATTCATTCAACAAGCATTGATTAATTAAACATATATGCCAAGTTGTACAGTGTTCAAAGATGAACAAATCCCTGCCATGATGTGGGTTACAATCTTATGGGAAAAGGATAAATACAGCATTTTAGGAAGACAGTGTATGGATTTGAGAATAGACGTTGGTGACTAGAAGATCACTTAACAGGCCATAACAGGGGCTGGCGGTTAAGTGCATGTGCTCCACTTTGGCGGCCCGGGGTTCACGGATTTGGATCTTGGGTGCAGACACATGCATTGCTTATCAAGCCATGCTGTGGCAGGCGTCCCACATATTTAAAAAAATAGGGGAAGATGGGCCCCGCTGTGCCAGCAAAAAGGAGGATTGATGGTGGATGTTAGCTCAGGGCTGAACTTCCTCAAAAAAAAAAAAAAAAAGAGGCTAACAGTCCCAAGTCTGAAGTAATAAAGGCCAGAATTTAGATATCAGCAGGGGGCCTAGGAGGAAAAAAAGAGAGATGGGAAAGATATTGCAAAAAAAATCACCAGTCCTTGATAACAGATTGAAATACAGAAGGCATGAGAGAGGAAAACTCAAAGATGATGAAGATTTTGAGTTGTGAATTAGGAGATTTGTGGTCACTAATAGAAACAGGAAATTAGAATGAGAATCCATTTAATTGTGTGTGGGGGGGGGGTAGGGACACCGAGGAAGGAGGGCATTTGGAGATGCCAGCTTGAAGTGTCTCTTGTTTAGTTCAGTGTGTTTGCATACACAATATGTGTTTTTAAAAGGAAAACTTGATAGAAATACTGTCAAGATTGCATGCTTAGGTTCAGATACCACTCATTCCATCCTAGGGTTCCAACGGAACAGCTGGAGGAGTATTTAAGTGACCTTTTTTGAAAATGTTTGCTTTGGAGGCCCTATAGTTAGAATTTGTAACATTGTTCACATCCCTCCTTGACTGTGTAATCTTCAGATTTATGTTGGATAGATTAGTTTCACTTTCTGGGAGAAGGAAAACTACTATATAGGCTCAAATGCTTAAAGACATTTTCTGAGTATCAGTACTACCTTTCAGAATTTGAGTTATATAATGATGCACACCTGAAATTTATATAATGTTATAAACCAATGTTACTGCAATAAAAACTAAATTTAAAAAAAAGAATTAAGCAAATGGTCCCCAAGGGGAAAAAAAAAGAATTTAAATTATACTTGGCTGTGTGTTTGTGAGGTAGCCTGGGATGAAATGTTGTCATAACTGTTCCTCTGTGGAAACAGTAGCCAAAGTTTTTCCTCATGTGATCTTATGTTTGAAGTGCTCCGCTTTTAAAAACTTTTTTAACTGTGGTAAAATATATATAACACAAAAATTGCCATTTTAACCATTCTAAGTGTACAGTTCAGTGGCATTCATTAGATTCACAGTGTTGTACAAGCGTCATTATTGTCTATTTCCAAAACTTTTTCATCAACCCAAACAGAAACTCTGGACCTGTTAAGGAGTCACTCCCTTTCTCTCCTCCCCCAAACTCTGGTAACCTCTAAACTACTTTCTGTCTCTATGAATTTGCCTATTCTAGATATTTCATGTAAGTGGAATCATTGTGTCTTTTTGTGTCTGACTTCTTTCACTAGGTGTAACGTTTTCAAGGTTCATCCATATTCTAGCATGTATCAGAACTTCATTCCTTTTTTTTTTTTTTTTTTGAGGAAGACTGGCCCTGAGCTAACATCTGCCAATCCTCCTCTTTTTGCTGAGGAAGACTGGCCCTGAGCTAACATCCGTGGCCATCTTTCTCTATTTTATATGTGGGACGCCTACCACAGCATGGCTTGCCACACGGTGCCATGTCTGCACCCGGGCTTTGAACCGGCGAACCCCAGGCCACAGAAGTGTGAACGTGCGCACTTAACCACTGCATGACTGGGCCAGCCCCTCATTCCTTTTTATAGTTAAGTAATATTCTATAATATGTATGTATATGTCATATTTTGTTTATCTGTGCATCTGTTGATGGACACTTGGGTTTTTTCTGTCTCTGGCTGTTGTGAATAATGCTGCAGTCGACACTGGCGTGGAAATATCTGTTGGAGTCCCTGTTTTCATTTCTTGTGGATATGTACCTAGGACCGGGATTGGCTTTGTCCTTTTAACCATGTAATAGTACATGGCCACTCTTGCTCACACTGTGGAACGCACACCTGGTATTTGAGTTCTTCGCAGCCTAAAATGGCATAAACTAGATTTTATACAGTTTCCTTGTGGATTAGCTCCTTAGTCACTGCCCCCTATACATTTACACACATACATTTATACAAAAATATACACTAGCTTTTAGAGGGAGTGTCTCTTACCTCCTTTTGCTGTCACTGATTTTATAAATAAGTGATTTTATAAGAAGGGCTGCAGTTATAGTTTGAATGAGAAGAGTGTGGAAGAGGAGAAAGAGCCCACGAGTACTACACTACAGGTCAGGAAATCAGCTTGGTGATCTGGGTTTCAAAGCCTGAACATATTGGAAACAGAAGTGTAGAAAGAGATAACTGCTTCAAAAATAGGCATATTGACAAGAGAGATCTTTGCTCTTATGATTATTCATGTCCATCTTCTATAGGTTGAAAACAGATTAATTGAAGGAAACAAAGGGGGAAAGCCCAGAAGGAAAAAAGAATTGGTAAGTAACCTATATAAAGTAATACTCCACCCTCCCATAGGTCATGTTTCTGCAGATTCTGCTTTCTTATTCCTGAGAGCCCATAGTAAATGGAAAGGGATCTATGAGCCACTAAAGAAGCTGTCACAAAGTCCACAACCCTTATTCTGTTGGAGAGGCCACTATTTGCATAAATTGACATAAAGGTCTAATAGTTGGCTCTCTCATTCACATCCCACAAAAGTTTTTGTTTTTTTTTTTTTTTGAGGAAGATTAGCCTTGAGCTAACTGCTGCCAATCCTCCTCTTTTTGCTGAGGAAGCCTGGCCCTGAGATAACATCCGTGCCTATCTTCTTCTACTTTATATGTGGGATGCCTACCACAGCATGGCATGCCAAATGGTGCCATGTCCGCACCCAGGATCTGAACTGGCGAACCCCGGGCCACCGAAGCAGAACGTGTGACCTTAACCGCTGCGCCACTGGGCTGGCCCCCACAAAAGATTTTTAAAGATTAGATGATGGCAGCTTATTGAAGGAGTCAGGCATATGACAACAGTGGTCAGTGATAATTGATAGCATGATGTCAAGGAAAACTAGCTCAAAAAGCATGGCAATCTGGGACTGTTTGGTGGCAGAAGGGCAAACAGTCCTATAGACATGTAGCTCCTTGAGGCATCCCAAGTTAACAGAAAAAATATACCTGATGATCCTAATCATGACTCTGAACCATGAATAAAATGTAACTGTAGAAACATTTTTACCAAACACTGTTAAAATAAAAATGTTACAGTATTTAGAGGGGAAACATCTCAAAGACATATTCGAGGAAATGTGCTTATATGGAACCCCTATTCCTTGCTCTGTGCATGAAGTATCATTGTAATATTTCAGTCTTTCTCGTGTTTTTCATTTTGATTTAACATGTTTGAAGTAGTAGCTATTTTTCACTTGATAATGAGAGGGAAAATATGTTTTCACTTCTGTTCCCACAAACTTCAGTATAAACAGTGACAGATGGCACTGATCCTTGAAATTACTCTTCTGCAAATAAGTACCTCCCACAATGGCTATATGGGTTTAGAGGCAGAGATAGTTTATCGCTTTAGCTTACTCATTGAGTAATTGAGCAATATTAACCCCTTCCTGATCCATAGTATCTTTTTGTCTAAACGACTTGCGCTTTTATTGAATAAGAAAAGGCCTTGTGATTGGTGAAAAGAGGCAGCAGTAGCAACAGCTTTCCCCTTGCAGTGAGTATTGTAACTAAGTCAAGCCTGAAACAATGAATGAAGTCAAGCACTGCCTGATCTGATTTCAGTATAACACCCAAATGGTTTCATTGTACAAAATGGGCCTTTTTGGCGCCTGTCAAATGATATTTTGATTAAAGTGGAATAAAGTAAAAAAAAAAAAAAAGCGATCTGTTTATAGGAAAAAAATTTTATGTTTCTTGGTAATTACCAATGCATCGATTCTAATTCCTTTATTGAGAGTTAGAGTATTTGATCTTAGGGTTGGAGGGAACTTAAAGGATATCTCATTCAACCAGCCTTCTGACCTGTGAATTCACTTTGAACAGAGTGATCAGATTTGAGCTGAGCCCTTGGGACGGGAATCCTCCCCTCCACCAGCATGAGACAACTCCTATCGTCAGGAAGTTCTTCCTATTCAGTCTCTCCCCTTGTAGTTTCTTAGTAGTAGTAGTTAAGCTGTAGTTCCTCTTCCAGGTCTTATTACAGCTCTTTGGCAACAATCTAATAAAAGTTGATTTTTTAATAAACCTTTTTAATTTTGTTGATATTTGGAAAATGCTTGTTATAAAATTTTTTAGTGGTTTTCAAATCTGTGCCAGTTGTCGGTCTTGTCCCTTTCTACCAAATGTCTCTTCAGTACCTAAGTATTAATGCTACCATTGTATGATTAGAAGCTTTTTTTGTATGTAGCATGAGGAAAGTTCCTATTCTGTTAATATAAACATTTTTCACTCTATATCTTCCTTGATTTAGTATTTAATTTCACTGTTTTATTATACAGTTATTAACTGATGTCTGTAATCTTAACTAATATAATGACTCATTTATTTTCTTCCTACTCTTTCTTAAATAGATCTGACTTTTATTTAAAGTATGTAAATTCTTTTTTACCCTTAGGAACAAGCAGGCATTATGTGAATTGTAGTTTTTCAGACTTTAATGTTTTCCTTAAGTAAAATATTGAGACTATAATAGAAGACAAAAAAGTTTTAAGTGGTGGGATATGATATTTTTCAGAGAAATTGAGTCCATATTATTTTTATTTATCTATTTATTTACTTTTTTTGAGGAAGATTAGCCCTGAGCTATCATCTGCTGCTAATCCTCCTCTTTTTGCTGAGGAAGACTGACCCTGAGCTAACATCTGTGCTCATCTTCCTCTACTTTATATGTGGGGCGCCTACCACAGCATGGCTTGCCAAGTGGTGCCACGTCCACACCCAGGATCTGAACTGGCGAACCCTGGGCAGCCGAAGTGGTATGTGTGAACTTAACCACTGCACCACTGGGCCAGCCCCTATTTTAATTTTTAAAAGTTAATATCATTGTAAGAACATATAGTTCCTAAAACAAAAAGTATGTAAGCTATGTTAATAGAAGTACATATAAACTGGGGGGAAAAAAAGCTGAACCAAAAATATTATGCAAATACTGGTTATAACTTGCAGTAGCCAGCCTCCAAGATGGCCCCCAATGATCCTCACCTCCTAGTATTCATGCCCTTGTGTAGTTCCCTTGCATTTTTCATCATGGTTGGTCTGTATGACCAATGGAATATGGAGGAAGTGATCGTGTATGACTTACAGGGCTAAGTCATAAAAAGCATTGCTGCTTCTGCCTTGCTCTCTCTTGGATTGCCCACTCCGGAGGAAGCCAGCCACCATGTTGTGAAGACATTCACGGCCCTATGGAGAGTCCACGTGGGAAGCAGCTGATGCTTACTTCCAACAACCAGCATCAGCTGGTTTTTTACAGTGTAAACCAGCATCAGCTTGCCAGCCAGTGAGTGAGCCATCTTGGAAGTGGGTCCTCAGCCTCAGTCAAGCCTTCAGATGACTGCAGCCCCAGCCTACTTCTTGACTACAGTATCATGAGAGACCCTGAGCCAGGACTATCTAATTAAGCCACTCCCAAATTACTGAACTACAGAAACTGTGAGATAATAAATATTTATTGTTATTTTAAGCAACTATGTTTTGGGGTTATTTGTTGTGTAGCAATGGATAACTAATGTACAGCATCCTAAAATATTTGTTGGTTTGATAGATAGAGAATTTGGACAATGTAAACAAATCTTTTTTTTTTTTTTGAAAGTTTATCACAATTTTAACAATTTGAAAGTGACTAAAGAAATTCAATTTAGCTATAGAACTACTAACAGATTCAGAAAAATAAAATTTTAGTCTCCTAAAACAGATTAATATGACTAGATTAGATATTCATTAATCAGTTACATTCTCTCTTAAAAATATAACTATTTATGAAAGTATTATTTCTCCCTTTTTGTGTCATTTTGCAGTTTATTCCTATTGTCACTTTTTTTTTTTTTTGAGGAGATTAGCCCTGAGCTAACATCTGCCAATCCTCCCCTTTTTTTGCTGAGGAAGACGGGCCCTGAGCTAATATCCATGCCCATCTTCCTCTCTTTATACGTGGAACACCTGCCCCAGCATGGCTGACAAGCGATGTGTAGGTCCCCACCTGGGATCCAAACCGGTGAACACTGGGCCACTGAAGCAGAACGTGCAAACTTAACTGCTGTGCCACCAGGCTGGGCCCCTATTGTCACTTTCTATTGAGCACCTTCTTGGACACTTTTCTAGGTGCTTGGGCTGCCTCAGTAAACAAAAAATGATTCCTGATCTTAAGGAGCTTATATTCTATCAGAGGAACAGACACAATAAGCATAATAAATAAGCTGTCTAGTGTGTTAGAAAGTGATAAGTGGTACAGAAAAAAGAAAAAGGTCAGAGTAATGGGGACTGAGAAAGCAGGTGGAGGTAGAGGGCACAAGAGAGAGGAGGGTTACAGTACTAGAGGCCTCACTGAGAAGGTGGCATTTGACAATGATTTGAAGGAGTTGCAGGGATTTATCAAGTGGATGTATGGGAAAAGATTGTTCCAGATAGTGGGGACAGCTAGAGCAAAGGCCCTAAGGCAGGAGCAGAGGTCAGTGTGGGAGGAATAAGGTGAAAACTTGGTAAATGAGGGTGGAGAGGTACTGGGGCAGGGAGGCAGAGCAAATGGACCCATGGAGGCTGTTACTGGGACCTTGCTACCCTGAGGGAAAGGGGAAGCCACTGCTGGATTTGGCACAGAGGAGAGACATGCTCTACCTTGTATTAAAAGGATGGCTTTGGTTGCTTGTTAAAACAGACTCTAGGGGAGTGAGGGTAAAAGCTGTTGGGTGTGTATAGGAAGACTTTCACATCCTGATGCCAGTTTAACTTTCCAGGTTCATCTGACCTTTCTGTTCTACACTCTCCTCCCTACTCCAATGTCCGTCTTTCCCTAGAGCCATACCAGATGACCCTTCCTGGGTGACCTACTGGTTAAAACTGTGGGCTCTGGAATTAGACCAGCTGGGTTTGATTTCTGGCTCTTTTCACTTTGGTCTTAAATGACTCAGTTTCTTAAGCCTCAGTTTTCTCGTTTATAGAATAGGGATCTTAACAGGACCTACCTCACAGAGTGATATTGTCAGATTAAATGAGATAATCCGTGTAAAACACTTAACATAGTGCTTGGCAAGTATTAAGATCTCAGTAAATATTAGCTGCTATTTTTATTATTACACGAGATTGTGTTCCTCTGGCCAGTCTTTCCTCTGCATTAAATGCTAACCCTTCTCTTCTATACTCTCCTCCTCTACGCTCTTCTATTTTTTGTTTTCTTTTTGTTTCTCAACTCCATATGACAAAAAGTCTTGAGGAAATTTAAAAATGAAATCAAACTATCCATAATTTACCTACTGTCTGTTTTCATCTTTTTACAGTGCCTCTGGTCTTCATCCATATGTCTCTATTATTTATATAGTAACTTCTATTCAGTTTTCATGATCAGTTCAAATGTCATCTCATGATGCCTTTCCTAATCCTCTAGGTAGAATTAGTCTTTCAGGGCCTTGGGGTCTTTTAGTGTTTTATGATTAACTTGAAAAGGTGTGGTTATTTGTATATATGTCTGTCACCTCTGCCAGACTCTTAGCACCTTGAATAAAAAGGTCTGTTAACTTACCTTTAATTCTCTGGCACCTAGTACTTAGGCTGAATCAGTGAATGTTTGTAGAATAAGACAATTGAGTGGAGCCTGTGAAGGCTCCCTGCTCCAATCCTTCCTACATGTAACTGCCAACTCGTGTTTGTGACACTCCCTTGCTCAGAGTCTTTATTGGCTTCCTATTGCCTGCAGAGTAAAGTCTAAACTCCTTAGCTGAGTATTTGCTGTGCTCTCCTGTTTGACCTTGATTTGGCTTTCATCTTGATTTCCTACTGCTGTTAGTCAAACCGATCTGTTCACTATTCCCCAGGAGCCCCAGTCCCTTTTCTGCATCCATGTGTTGATTCATATTTCTTTTTCCTGAAAAGCACTCCTCTCCTGTTCTAATGCCCCTCCTCAGGACCCTCCGCAAAGCCTCCTCTGATCATCCCAGCTAAAAGTAACCTCTCTGCTTTGAAGTCTCAGAGCATGGTAACTGTGCTACTTGTCAGATTTTAACTTTACAGAGGTAATTAATGGACGTGTATTTTTTTTTTCCTGTTTGCTATAATCTCTTAAAAGGCAGGTCTAAGATGATTCATCTTTGCATTCTATACTCATTAAGTAGCATTAGGCAACTGATCATTTCTGGAATAGCTAAATGAATGAATTAATATGTGAATAAATAGGCTTCCTGGAATAGCACCTCTATCCATGGACTGGTTTAGAGGGAAACGGGGAGTTGGGATGTGATACATAGCCATAGTAAGACATTGGGGAGGGGGTGCTCCCTGCCCCAGTGCTCCTGTCTGCAGATACCATTAGCGCAATTGCACCAAGTCCATTCAGGACACATTTACTGACTTCTAACATGTTCCAGGCTCACTACTTGGCTTTGGAAATACAAGAGATATGAATCATGTACCCTGATCTTAGACACCCTTCAGATAGCAGGGTGTTCCAGGTGGCCCTTGGTATTGGATATGTAGGTACCAAGTTATATCTCCAAATGAGGCAGAGCTCACTGTGCTGAAATCTGTCCCAGACTTACCTTATTAGACCCACCTCAGTTTTGCTTTGCTTGACTAGCTTACGCTCTGAGTGGCTTGGCTAATCCATTCCCATAGTTCATATTATTGTTTAAAAATTTCATTCTAGTTACATTTTAAACTTACTTTGTCTTTCATTTTTAACTTTGTTAAAGCTAGCTTTGCTGTGGAACTCAGAAGAATTGGCAGTGGGAGCTTTTACACGTCCCTGTGTTCAGACCTTCTAATGGACCTTTCTACTCACCTATCCTATTCCATTATTTTCCACTGTTGAGAAATGCTGTGTCATTTTATCCAAGTTAGTCAATACTGTTATTTGCTTAGGGAGGGAATAGAAAGACTTAAATAACAGGTGTCACCATGGAACTGTATAAGGAAAACAAGTTCACTCCTTTTGAAATCCGATTCAATGCTTCCAAAATCATCCTTTCTCATACCTCCCCTCTTGATTCTGGTACACCTCTATATTGCAGCTATACTGAACTCTTTTAATTCTTAAAGTTCTCAGAATTCCCCTTATGTCACTGCACCAAGTTAATTCCTACCTCTGATTCAGGACCCAGCTTAGGCCTTTCATCCCTTAAGGAGACTCCTCCCCGCTTCCCACCCCATCCCTTCTAAGATGAGTTACTTGCCCTTTATGTCCATTCCTGTAACACCTTGTGCATATTTCTGTCAGAGAACTTACCACTTTACCTTATAGCTGTTGGTTACTTATCTGTTTCTTCTAGTAAGCTGAAGTCTCCCCAAGATCTGGGCTTATATCTGATTCCTCTTTTGTCTCTGATATATATTAGACACTCAGTAAATGCTTATTGATTAGAAAATTCAATGCCCTGCTTTCTAAATTCATCTCAAGAATGGAAGCTATCGAGGACTACTATTAACTTCTCTACTATTGGGGTAATGTTGTAAAAACATGAATTAGTAGGGAGTTAATCTCTTGTGTAAAAAGTACACAATTCAGTTCCTGAGCAACTTCTGCCCTATAACCAATAATTCTGCTAGTTGGCACTTAACTGTCATAAAAATAGATGAACCAGACAATCATGTACCCAGAAAAAAGGTGGATAAGGGAGGAGTGAAGAATAAAGAAGGGAGTGAGTTAGCAAAATGCCAGGCAGTTGGTTGCAAACTGGCACAAAGGTGAATGTGGTTTGTGAAGCCAACTTGATTCACAAAGGCTGAAATAAGAGCAAAGAGCAAAAGGCAACCAACAGTGAAAGCAGGGATTCATGGGGAACGGGCAGACGTAAACAGGTGAGCACCTAGATGGGGCCCGGGTCCTTTGGGATTGTGGTCTCTTAGGCTCTGGGTGACATGGAAGAAGGAGATCCAGAGTGTGAAGCTCTGGGAAAGCTGAGTGGGGAGGATTAGTGTTTACTACAGAGACAAAGATAATACTGAAAAGATGTTGGAAGGAGATGACCATATGACAAACACTGGCTGGCACCAAAGTCTCAGGAGAATTGAAGAGGGGTTTTTGTTGGGGTTTAATAGGAGATAGTACACTGATGTATGCTTCCTGGTCTATAGAAAGTAAGCTTGACTATATGTTCTTTGAAGTAGCATATACAGCTTTTATTGGCACATTTGGAGAAACAGTCCTTCCTTGGAAGTTTGAAATTGTGATCTTTCAGTGGGTAGGTAATTAATCTCCTTTTGGAGAGAAGTCAGCTATTGTTAAATGGGTGAGATCCAGTGCTTCAGTTACTGGATCACAGCTCATCCGTTCAGGGTATTTATTCAACATGTACTACATGCTAGCACTGTTCCAGCACCAGGTACACATCAGTGAACAAAACAGACAAAAATTCTTGCCCATGTATATCTCACACGGGGGAGGGGGAGCAGGAAGTATGAAAAAACCCCACAAAAGTAGTAAATTACATAGTGTATTAGAAGGTGAAAAGTGCTATGGAGAAAAATAAGCAGGGAAGGAAGGTAGGTGCATGTGGCCAGGTGGGTTGCAATTTTAAATAGAGTGGACAAGGAAGGTCTCAGAAGGTGACATCTGAGCAAAGACTAACAGTGAATGAGCAAGCTATGCAGGCTGGCGTCATGTAAAATAGGACACCATTCTACATACTCTGCATTGTAGGCCGTTCTAATACCATTCTTAAAGTAGCTAATCTTAAAGAAAAATGAGCTTGGAAGTGGTGTTAGAAGGTAGAGGGTGAGAGCAGAAAGGAGCATTTTGTGTTCCTTCTTTGCTTTCTCTAAAATCTACTGTTTAGTTTTACACTGAACACCTGGTATGACTCAGCAGTTTCCACTCCATGAAAACGGATACATACTAGTTTGCATTTTTTTCCCTTGAAATCTCTTTTGGAAGAAAAACAAATGTTTGTTTAATGGAAATAGAAGCTGGAGAGGTTTTTCAGAAACTGCAATAACGAGAAAATAATAGAGAAAATATGAGCCCTGAGGAAGCTGCTGTGGAGCTGGAGTCAGTCACAGAGATGAGGGAAGGCTGGTGACTGGAGAGCCTCTAAATGCACTTCCCAGGGGAGTAGAGGAGCCAAGTGTTGAATATGGTTTGAGCTCTGGACAAGGCAAGGGTCCATTAATACTCAGAGAATCTGGGGGCTGGCCCGGTGGCACAGTGGTTAACTGCACACGTTCCGCTTCTCCGTGGCCCGGGGTTCGCTGGTTCGGATTCTGGGTGTGGACGTGGCACCGCTTGGCAAAAGCCATGCTGTGGTAGGCGTCCCATGTATAAAGTAGAGGAGGATGGGCATGGAAGCTCAGGGCCAGTCTTCCTCAGCAAAAAGAGGAGGATTGGCAGTAGTTAGCTCAGGGCTAATCTTCCTCAAAAAAAAAAAAATACTCAGAGAATCTGAAAAGGCTGTTTTTGTTTTTAGTTATTTGGATTGATCTCCATGACCAGCCTGTTTGCTGTAAAAGAAGAATCAGCCAAAGGGAGTGGATTTAAGATGTGACTTTGAATCTGGCCAGGCAGCTGCCCTGTTACGGTGGTTGATTTCCTAGGATGAAGTTTCCTTCGTTAGAGATTCCAAAAGTTTTCCTTTCTCAGCCAGTAGCACTCATTCTTAACTACAGGATTCAAGTTCAGCCTTGAATAGCATTCAAACTCATAATTCTAACTCTGCCTTTGTAGTACCTCAGAACATCTCTATATTTTAAATAGTTTTAAATTTCAAGTGCAATTAACTTCAATTTGCTATATTTTATGTAAGTGTCACCTATGGGGAGAGAGGCATTTTGTTAACATGAACCCCAGGAGATAACAGACTTGAGAATGATTGAGAACCCTCCATCTGTGCTCCAAATATACCAAGTATTCTGTTAGAGATAAGGGGACCAGGATACGGGGACTTTGGAATTAGATCTTGTTTAACCAGTAACTATGACTTACCCAAGGAGACTGCAGAGATGAAAGCTGGATCAGAAGCCCTAAAAATGTTTGGAGCAAAGTACATAGGGGCAATTAAGGAATCATTAAATGTTAGAGGATAGGGGGCTGGCCCCATGGCCGAGTGGTTAAGTTCGTGCGCTCTGCTGCAGGCGGCCCAGTGTTTCGTTGGTTCGAATCCTGGGCGCGGACATGGCACTGCTCGTCGAGCCACGCTGAAGCAGCATCCCACATGCCACAACTAGAAGGACCCACAACGAAGAATATACAACTATGTACCGGGGGGCTTTGGGGAGAAAAAGGATAAAAATAAAATCTTAAAAAAAAAAATGTTAGAGGATAGATAGGGCATTCTTCATTAAGACCAGGGGAAAATATAGCCTAGTGCAGAGAAAATGTAGCCTATCCAGGAGACATTTTTCCATGTAACCTTCCTTGAGGTTTTCAGCATCAGCATTTGTATCTAGCCTACCATAATATACACATTCAAAACAAACAATGCTGAGCGCTAGTGCTAAGTTTTTTCTTTGCTAAGGACACGTTAAGAAATACAGGCAGTAACTTGCCGTAAGGGAGGCATTTTGGAATAGGGGAAAAAGAAAGCTTGGCAAGCGTGAAGACTGATTTCTGATCAAGATTTCACCGCTGACTTGCTTTATGACTTTCAGCAAGTCATTGAACCTTTCTGTCTTAACTTGCCCATTTGCCCTAGGTTCTAATGGGAATAACATGATGTGAAACCTGCAAAGGATGTTTTAAAAACCATAATGGTTATTTAAGTATTTTTAAATTAAGTTGTCTTATTTTCTTAAAATGTAGTTGTATGTGCAAGGCGTTGGCAATATTGTTGGTCTGGACAGGTGGCTGTCTGATGGCCTGATTTTTGAAGGCTGTGAATACCCCAATGCTAGGGACTTTATAACTTCTTTGTAACTTTATAACTTTAATTCAGAAATTGAAGCCTCTTATCATATCAATCAAAAAGAAGAGAGGGAAAGAAGGAGGGAGGGAAGGTTAGTTAGTGTATGACCTAAAGACAAAATGGAAAGAAGAAAACTAGACTCAGCAATAGGAGCAGAGTGGCAGAGAGAGCCTTTGAGTAAATGAGAGCAGAACAATTAAAAGCAGAACATGGGAGGGGCCAGCCCTGTGGCTGAGTGGTTAAGTTCCATGCTCCGCTTCTGTGGCCCAGGGTTTTGCTGGTCGGGATCCTTACGCAGACCTAGCACCGCTCATCAAACTGTGCTGAGGCAGTGTCTCACATGGTAAAACTAGAAGGACCTACAACTGTGTACTGGGGGGCTTTGGGGAGAAGAAGAAGGGAAAAAAAAGATTGGCAACAGATGTTAGCTCAGGGCCAGTCTTTAAAAAAAAAAAAAAAGCAGAACATGGGAAAATATATCTTAAATCCCAATTTCTTTTGCAACCAGATACCCTTCAAAAAGGTGCTAAGAGCATATGTCACCCTGGTCTAGCTTGTTGTGCTAGTTATTAGAAATAGAGAAAGAGCACCTTGGGGAAAGGGGTGGGATTTCAATAATGAATGTTTCTTCTTTTACAAGTGTAAACAAAAAGGCCAGTTCGTCTAACCTTATGTGTCTTTGTCCTTTGTCCTATAAGCCACTGCAGGTGTGTGAGCAGCACTCCTTCTGCAATAAAAGTCTAGACTCACCGCATCTTGGAAAGAGAATGGCCACTTCCTCAGGGGCAGCCTTTTTTATGCTAGTGGCATCCTGTGTTTGCAGCACTGTCTTCCACAGAGACCAGCAGACTTGGTTTGAGGGTGTTTTCCTGTCTTCCATGTGCCCCCTCAATGTCAGTGCCAGCACTTTGTATGGAATCATGTTTGATGCAGGGAGCACTGGAACGCGGATTCATGTTTACACCTTTGTGCAGAAAATACCAGGTCGGTGCAATGGTACCCTCACCAGAATCCATAAGTCTACACTTTAGCATCTCTTCCCAGAAACAAATGTGCGGACAGTGTGTGATGTGAATTACAGAATTTTATGGCTACTGAATGTCTTTCTTCAGACAGCATTTTGGACTATAATTGAACACATATGGTTTAATTCAGTGTGAAATTAATAGAGATCTGAAATATATGTGTCCAAGAAATATAGCTGTAATTTGTCTTTCCTTTTCTCTAAAGGAGGTTGATAATCCAGGGTGCAGAATATTGAGAATATTGGGCATGGTCTTGAGAGAAGGATCACTACCATCCATAGAGAATGGGATGAAGATTAACTTTCTCAGAATTTCCAGTGTTCTATCCTCAAGTTACATATAGATTCCAAGAAAAGGAGTAGGAGCTATGTGTCCACCAGAGAAAGGGCAGAGCAAGTCTCAAGGATTGCCTGTCGTCCTTTCTCCCACTACCCAATACTCCTGCAAGCCATTCCTCACAAGTGGGATTACTCTGGGGGGTAGCAGGTTAATCTAGCTGGTCATATCATACAGAGCCCAGTATCAGAAACAGCCTAACTTTTGGTAATCAGCCGTCTCTCTTCTGTTTTGTTCCATGGACAAAATAGGACAGCTTCCAATTCTGGAAGGGGAAATTTTTGAGTCTGTGAAGCCAGGCCTTTCTGCTTTTGTAGACCAACCTAAGCAGGTGAGTTTCTTTTAATTAGATGTTTAGATTCTCAATGCCTTGATAGTTGTACCACATCGCTGCTGTTAAATATCTCATGCTGTTCACAACTAATATTGAGGTCACGTGTGAGATCAGTTTTCTGTCCTCAGCTAATCTCCTGGGTAACAGTAATTGTACACCCCGAGCTCACTAGGGTTTAGGTGGCAGGAGGCTAGAATAGATTGTGCATGCAGGGATGACATCATCTTTTAAGAGATTGTTCCTTTTGTATATACTGTTTAAGATTTTGAGTTGAAGCCATCAACTGCATTGATTAATGTAGATGCAGAAGATAGACATGAAGTTCTATAAGGTATGAGATATAAACATGGCAATTGAAGGAATGTAGACCCAATGAACTCCATTTCAGAGTGCCCTGGTATAGGACAGAACTATGCCTATACTCTAGAAATTAGGCAAGAATCCAGGATGACAAAGATCTTTGGTAGTAGAGGATGAATGAAGAGTTTTGTCATAACTGTCTTTCACATTTGAGCACTCACAACGTGCTACACTCAGTATGTCAGAGGCCATGCTGAAATGAAATAGAATAAGGCAAGTGTTGAACTTTGGTAGCAGATGTAAAGATATTGTTCGGTATTACAAGCAGAATCATTAACCAAAGGAAAACCTGATGTTAAGAATGGCTTTGGACTTGAAGAACTGAGAGAATGTTTATTTTTTCAGCTCACTGTTGTGAAATGGCAAATGTACTAGAAAATTAGGAGCTGTTGAAAACATTACATTATTAGAACATGATTTGACATTTAGAGAAGAAAATTGTGTTGTAGTTGCTAATAATTATAATGATTAAGGGGCAGCATGTTATCAGAATAGATGTTCACGCAGAGAAACAGTGGATTTAAAATAATGGTTTTTAATTTATCATAAATTGAGCATGTACGTGTACCATGCATGTAGGTGCTGGTGATACAAAAATAAACCTGACGTCGTCTGTCCTTATGGAGATCATAAATAGTGTAGCATAATAACAGCCACAGCTAGCATTTGTATGGCAGCTACACACAGTCTGCCTCATCTAATGCACAACAGTTTTGTTGTGGTATGAGATGTTTCTCCCAACTCAGAACTGAGGAGCCAAGCCCCAGGAAGCCTCTGTGTTAGGCCACAGGGCTGGCAAGCAAGTCTTCTAACTCAAAATCCTGTGTTTCCTTTACTGTACCCAACTTTCTGGCCTGAAGCTAATTTATGAGACACAAAATAATGATCAATTAAAATGACCACACGATAATAGAATCATTTTTATTATGACTTACTCAAAATAAAAGGGATTCTCCTTCAGGGAAGCCCACTTCTCTAGGTTTTTGCTCCTACAGAGAAGAGAGGGGTTGGAGCCCTCTGCTACCTCACTGTTATTACTCCCCCAGAGCATGTTGAGGGAATAGACAAGTGCCACTAAATGGACTGTTCACTGGATGAGGAGATCATCTCTTTTGAAGGGTGCTGAGACTGTCCAAGGACTCTTAGAGATGGCCAAAGACTCAATCCCCCGAAGTCACTGGAAAAGGACCCCAGTGGTCCTCAAGGCAACAGCAGGACTGCGCTTACTGCCAGAACAGAAAGCCCAGGCTCTGCTCTTTGAGGTAACCTTTGAAATCTTCTGCGTCTTGGATAATTCTTTTTCCTTGTATGAATATTTTCTGTGTGGGTTTTTAGCTCTTTGCAGTGTGACTGCTACCTTTAGGATTGCTGAAGCACTATGGTAACTCTGGGCTCCTGTTGTAGCCAGTTACTTAGATTTTAAATGTTACTCTTGAATTTATAGAGCTTTTCCTAAAAAGCTTAGAAGTATTTCCTGTCCATGATATTCTTAATTCTCCTAACTTGTTAAAGCAGTATCATAGAAATTATTTTAAATCAGCTTTATCGAGATATAAGTTACATAAAATAAAATGAATACATTTTACATGTACAGTTATATGAGTTTTGACAAACATAGAAGTGTCCTTGTGCTCCTCTGCAGTCAGTTTCTCCCTCCCCTGAAACCAGGCAACCACTGATCTGCTTTCTGTCATTCTAGATTAGTTTTGCTTGTTCTTACATTTCATATAAATGGAATCATACAGTTTATATTCTTTTGTGTCTCTGACTTTTTTCTCTCAGCATAAAGTTTTTGAGAAGAATCATGGAATTTTAAGTGTGAAAGATTTTTAAAGATCATCTGTTTCAACTTTCTTCTTATTCAGATAAAAAATTTAGGTACAGAGAGTTTTTATTTTGCAAAAAACATTTAAACTAATAAGATTTAAATTACATATTGTGAAGAATATTTATAGGCAGAATCTCATTACAACAAAAATCACAGCAGAAAAGGATTCTGTATTACAAGTGTGCTAATTCAGTCCTCTAAATCTACATTCCTTTGACTGTCAGCACAGAGGTCTGAAGTCCTTATCCAAGGACAAGCTGCCTGGCATGTCTACTTGAGAATCCGAATCCCAATTCCTCATTAATTTATTCACTTATTTATTCAGCATATGAATGCTTACTATGTTCTGGGCACTGAAGTTACTGGTGATTTAGAGCAGGGAACAAAAAAGACAAATAGTCCCTGCCCTCGTGGAGCTTACATTCTAGTTGCAAGAAGACAGAAAATAAACAACTAAACAAGTCAATACAAAGTATGTCAGGTACTGTACAAGCTATGGAGAAAAAAACCAGGGTAAAGCAGCTAGGGAATGCTGGTGTGGGTGTGGGCAAGATGCTATTTTAAATAGGGTGGTCAGAGAAGACCTCATTGATCAGAGATATGAGGAGAATGAAGAAGCAAGCTATACAAGACATTTGTAGGATGACTATTCCAGGCTAATAAAACATGAGAGAGCAGCAGAAACTTTCCTATTGCCTCAGGAGCCACTCGGGCCCAACTCTTCTCTACTCTTGGAGTTTATCTGCTCATGTAAGAAATGGATTGGGAAATGGTCCTCCTAGGTTCCAGTGTGTGTCCAGGTAGAATTAATCAGGTGTTTTAAAAACAACATGACAGGATCTTGATTTGAACTGGCAGGGTCTAATGCTGTTTCCTAGGTCCAGTTCACCTATAAATTTAGATGGTTTGGTTGAGATTTAAAGTCTAAGGAACGCTTGTGTTTTTGTTTTTACGAGAAACCAATAATGGCTTGCCTAGTTCGTTCTCTAGTTTCTTAAGGAAAAGTAATGAGTTCTGCTAAAATCTTATCTAGGGAAAATGAAGAGAGCAATTTTCTAAGCCTTATAAGATGCAGCAAAAATATGGAAATCTGTTTTATTGCCTTAGGGAATCCAGATATTTTTCCTTTTTCTCTAGGTAAGAGAGATCTTCAAGAAGTCACCTTTCCTGGTACCAGATGACAGTGTTAGCATCATGGACGGATCCTATGAAGGTGGGAGAGGTGTTGATATATATATGTTTTAAGGGGAGAGGGCCAGGGTTAATAAAAGATTTGATTAAAGGAACTGGGAAGAGGAATGGGGGTGCTGAAGAAAAAGGAACTAAGTAAGAAGAAACAAATAAGCAAAAGGAAGGGGATAGCAGGAAATGGAAGGGCCGGGAGAAGGAAAATGGGTACTTTAGACATGAAATTTGGAGAGAAGATGGGGCCAGGAAAGAGGGGGAAAAGGTGCTCTGGGCGTAATCCTTGTCTTTCTCTCTTTTTTAGGCATATTAGCTTGGGTTACCGTGAATTTTCTGACAGGTAATATATTCTCAAGTTTATCTTTAGACCTTAACTGGGTTTCACACGTGGTCAGAGAGCAAAAATCCCTTTCTTTTTTCCTGTGTTGTTCCTTCTTTTTTTATTAAAAAAAAAAAGGGGGAAAGGAAAGACAGGAAGTTAATGTTTAGAACCTGCCTTCAAGGCCTCAGCTGCAGCAAAAGTCTGTCCAGGTTAGTATTTGCCTTCAGTCCTTGGGGCTGGGAAGCAGTGGAGTATTTATGGAATTCCTCGGATATACTCAGATATACGACAAGAACAGGGGAGAAGTGGCAGACAGAGGAGTGTTGGGCTGTCCAGGAAGCAGAAGATGTCCGGAGCTGACTCTCATTCACAGGTCAGCTGCATAGCCACAGCCAGGAGACTGTGGGGATCCTGGACCTGGGTGGGGCCTCGACCCAAATCACGTTCCTGCCTCGGTTTGAGGTGAGTCATTTATACGAAGGTCTGGTTGGCAACCCATTTAGCAGATATATCATGGTGCCAAGAAAGTGGTGCCCCATTTTCAGACAGCAGCTCCACCATGAATAGGCTGAATAGAGTAAATTAATGACTGGGTGTATTTCCCCATGCCCCTTCACTGTTGACAGTCCAGGGGAGGGACAGGGATGGTGGTGATAACATCTTCAGTTAATTGCAGATCCTGAATAGTTTTTTTGCTTTTTCTGATTTGCAGAAAACCCTGGAGCAAACCCCTAGGGGCTACCTTACTTCTTTTGAGATGTTTAACAGCACTTATAAGCTCTATACACATAGGTGAGGCGGGGGACAGGGAAGAATAATAATGTTTTATGTTGTATGATTCTGCCAACTATCAAAATGTTTTCCTATCTATTATTGCATCTGGCCAGCCTTACAAAGTCTTTGCCAATCCCTGAAGGCCTAATAACTGAAACCCAAGCCACTTACCAAAGCTCAAGGACCCGAGAGGTTTCTCCAATCTTGGCCTCAAAAGTATAATTTAGAGTCAAAAGTTTTCTCTAGAGAGAGGACACTCAGAGAAGGTTGAGCCAAAGCTCTGTGCTAACTCTTGAGCTTGCCTTCAGATGTTCAAAATCCAGCCTTGGATTTCATCACAGTGGGATCGGGAGCTAAGATAACGAGAGCTTTTCTGGGGATGGCTCCCAAGGTGGAAGCCTAGGAAGTGTCCCTGTCTCTGGCCTTTAAATCATAGCTGTGGAAAGTTCTTACTGCATGGCCTTGATCTGAACTGTGCGGAAATCACCGCTTGTCCATACAAGATGAATAGGTCACAGAGAACAAGGTTTTCCTCCCACCAGAGAGAGACAGAGAAACCATGTTACTTTTGAAAGATGTGGCTTTAGGCTGGAGAACTTGGGGACCAGCATGAAATTAGTCAATCCTGTATTTTACAGTTACTTGGGATTTGGATTGAAAGCTGCAAGACTAGCAACCCTGGGAGCCCTGGAGATGGAAGGTTCGTCTGGGTACCTGTGTTGGTTGGGGTATGGTGAGAGTGGCACCAACACTCAGCTTGCCTTTTCCTTTCCTTGGTAGTGATTCTGTGGAGGAAAGGGTTATGCTCAATTAGGAAGCATATGTGGTATACATAATAATAGCAAATTCCTTTTCTACTGTATGAGTTCTAGTTTTGTATACATTATTAGCCATTTCTAGAATGAGATCTGTTAATACAGGGAGAACAGCCTGTGGCCAGGAGGCTGAAGTGTCGGCAGAAATTCAGGGCTCAAAGAGTAAATTTGGCAGGAGCTTGCTCAAGCCCTTAGTTTACATGGGAGGTGCAGGAAGCAGCATCGGTCCACTTGCAAGGTGGGATAACTGAGCAACTCAGTCATCTCTTCACTGGTGGTAGAGGGATTAATAGCTCAGCTTTTGGGGTCAGGCATAACTGGGTTTAGTCCGTTTTGTGATTTGGGGCAAGTTAGCTAACCTTTCTGTGCCCCTTTCCTCACCTTAAATGGGATTTTGTATTTAGTGCACTTTGTACATTGCCTGGCTCACAGTAAGCGTTTATTGTGGTGATGATTGTATAGCATTTCAGAGTTTACAAAACATCTTCAGATGTACTTCATTTAAGCCTCACGACAACCAATGAGAAAAGAGAACAGTATTTTTTTCCTTTTTTGACAAAGGAGGGAACTTATTCCATTGTAGCTTTGGGATTTCTTTGAGATGTGATGAAAGCCATAGACCCCTCCACCAAACGCATCTATGCACAAAAATTTGCCTGTAGTTTCAGGGGGTTCACCAACCGCACAAAGCCCATCAAGGAACCCTGAGTTCAGAATTCCTGTCATAGGATGCAGTCGTGGAACTAATTTCATACAATTTTAAGGCCCAGCCACCTTGGCAATTCTTTTCAGCCTTACTGGCTTCTCGTTTGCCTTCCCCTCTCTCTCTCTCACATCCTTGCCTCTTATTTTGTGGCCTGGTTTCTTTCAGGGATTGACGGACACACTTTCCGAAGTGCCTGTCTACCGAGATGGTTGGAAGCAGAGTGGATCTTTGGGGGTGTGAAATACCAGTATGGTGGCAACCAAGAAGGCGAGTGATGTTTTTTCACTAGTTGAAATTACTCACAGGAAAAGTCCCATGGGAAGCTTTTTGCAGAGCTCAGGAGAAGCTTGTCATGTTGCAGGGACTCATTCCAAATAGATCTTGGTATGCCTCCAAGGAATAATGTGAAGTGACAGTGAACAAGGCAGCTGTCACCCTGCATCCTGCTTCTTTCCTGGCCAAGTGTTGTGGATCCATTAGAAACCTGTCTTACCCTGGGTCTAATCCTTTAAGGGTTTCTCCCCTCAGCAGGGTGAAACTCTGTTTCAGGTTCAGTTAATGTTTAGCTATTTAAACTACAGTAAAACTTAAAATTGGGGTGATAGGAAGAATAATTCAGCTTACGTATTATAAAAGGCATACACCTTAAAATCAAGGTAAAAACTTGATTTTTCCAGTGAAAGAAGCAGATGAGCCTTCTGGATACCTCATATAAATACCATGAAACGTAATGTCAGGCAGCAGCTCGGGGTGGGCTGCGGCTGTTTTTGATGAACACAGGTAGGGAGGGGAGCTGCCATGGAGAAGCAGGTACCTTTCCTCCAGAGAGATGAGGCTGCAGAAGTTTGCTCATCTTTGTTTGTAACCCTTTGTCCTGAGTCTCAGCCTCTGCTGTCCTTGATCCTCCTTGTTTCCTTGTTTCTTTGTTGCTTCCAGCAGCTTGCCTCTGAGTGTGGTTCCTTTCCCTATCATTTTTCTCACCTTGCCCCCCTGCACCTTTGCCCTGGCAGGAGAGATGGGCTTTGAGCCCTGCTATGCTGAAGTGCTGAGGGTGGTCCAAGGAAAACTTCACCAGCCAGATGAGGTCCAGAGAAGCTCCTTCTATGCTTTCTCTTACTATTATGATCGAGCTGTTGACACAGCCATGATTGGTAAGTTCACTGTAGGTGAGGTGTCAGTCCAGGAGGAAACTGGGCAAGGCTGTGCTGGGGAAGGGAAAGGGAGAAAAGGAGTATTTGAAAAGCTTTGTCGGAGCTGATCACGCTATTCTTCAGTGCTGGTTGTTGAGTGACACTAGTCACTCAAATGGAAAGGTGAATATGATTTAGAATCTTTTGGAACTGGAAGAATGTCTAAACAAATATACACGAAATATTTTTTTTAACATTTTTTTTTTTAAAGATTGGCACCTGAGCTAACAACTGTTGCCAATCTTCCTTTTTTTTGCTTTTTCTCCCCAAATCCCCCCAGTACCTAGTTGTACATTTTAGTTGTGGGTCCTTCTAGTTGTGGCATGTGGGATGCTGCCTCAGCATGACCTGAGGAGCGGTGCCATGTCCGTGCCCAGGATCCGAACCAGTGAAACCCCAGGCTGCCGAAGCGCAGCATGCGAACTTAACCACTCGGCCACAGGGCCAGCCCCATTTTTTAACATTTTTATTGAGGTATAATTGACATAACATAAAATACACATATTTAAAGTGTACAATTTGCTAAGTGTTGACATGTATACACCCATGAAACCAGCACCAGATTCAAGATAACGAACATATTCACCACCCCAAAAAGTTTCCTCTTCTCCCTTTATAACTTTTTCCTTACTATAATAGTAATGATTTTTGTTTAGCTGTGAGAATGTATATATGTGATGTGTCATGGCCTGAGATATGAATTAATTTTCTATTTTCTAATATGTTTTTTTAATGGATCAAATTTTTTTATTGTGGTTAAATATATACAACATAAAATAGATTATAAATAAATAAAATAGGGGCTGGCCCCATGGCATAGTGGTTAAGTCTGCTGCCCTCTGCTTCAGCAGCTCGGCTTTGTGGGTTTGGATCCTGGGCACAGACCTATACCACTCATCAAGCCATGCTGTTGTGGCAACTCACGTACAAAATAGAGGAGGATTGGCACAGATGTTAGCTCAGGGCTAATCTTCCTCAGGCAAAAAAAGAAGATTGGCAACAGATGTTAGCTCAGAGCGAATCTTGCTCAGCAAAAAAAGGGAAAGAAAATAAATAAGTAAATAAAATAGACTGCCTAAATTATACTGTAGGGATATGTCATGTTTGTTTATCCAGTTCTCTAATGTTGTAAATTTTATTTCCAGTTTTTCATTATTATAAATATCACTAGGATGAATTTCTTTGTTTTCTTAAAGGCTTTTGACATCAGCTACTGTTCTGTTTCATTTCAGATTATGAAAAGGGGGGTGTTTTAAAAGTTGAAGATTTTGAAAGAAAAGCAAGGGAAGGTAAGTGTCAGTGGCAGCCCTTGAAGGCGACTCATGAGACTGTGCCTGCCAATTCCAGTGACCTTAAAGTGACCTAAAGCACCAGTCAGCAGAAAGCCTCTCAGAAGGCTGGTTTCCTGTCTTTGCCAAGAGCTAAAAGCATTAAGTGGCAAAGAATATATGAGAATATAAGAGGCTCTCCGGAAATGGTGAAAACCTTTTCTTCCTTCTGCATTTCTTCCTTCCTTTTTTTTTTTTAAATTAAAATAGTGCTATCAGTTAATGAAACACTGAACACCAAAATATATGGGACAATAGTCACAGAGGCTTCCTTGAGAGAGTCCATCAAAAATACAAATAAATGATCTTATCCAGTGGCCCCAAAGTAGGGCCCCAAAGACACTTGCCCTGTCTTCTAGGCCTTATCATTAATAATATTTAAAGGACTTAGTTGAATGATCCCCAAGTCATAGAAATTTAGCAAATAAACTAGGGCCCATGTACATTTGAGTAGATAAGATGTAACATCAGAAATGTGCAAGTTCTTAAGAAGCTGCAGTCTTACAGAAGCTGTCAATGCACAGTTCTAGCCTCTAAGACTCCTAGACATCTGGGAGATGGAGAATGAAGAATTCTGCTTTGTTTATTTTAAGTCTATGTTTAGAGAAAATCATACACCTCTCAGCTGGCCATAAACTTGAACTCTCTCTCCCCTTCAGTGTGTGATAACTTGGAAAACTTCACCTCGGGCAGTCCTTTCCTGTGCATGGATCTCAGCTACATCACAGCCTTGTTGAGGGACGGCTTTGGCTTTGCAGACAGCACCATCTTACAGGTAAGAACGAGGTTACCAAAGTCGCATAACAGTCTTCTTATTTGGAGTTGGGAAGAAAGAGTTAAGAACTTGTTTAGTAATCAGAGTGGCTCTAGGTAGAATTATGAGGTATTTTCATTCAGGCTATGGACAAGGCACTGTGCCAGGCACCATGAATGCGGGAAATTACGTTGATGCAACAGCAGCTTCTAAATACATAACCAGGCAAGCTATCCCAGAGGTCACAGAGCAGAAAGGCTTGCAGCCCAAATTAAGATGCCCAAGTCACATGGTTTATTATTAAATCAATTTCAAAACCCAGGGTGAGAAGCAAGGGGAAAGAGATAGGATAGGTGAACACACAGGATAGGGTGCAAGCAGGTTGGAAGTGCTACACTTCCTCAATCCTGAGTTAGTCTGTTCTGCCTCCCTCTGCCACTGATAGTATGGTTACAAGTACTAGAGCTGAAATTTGATCAAGGGGGCATAAGGACAGAAGGTGCCTGGGGCCATCACACAGACTTGCTCTATTTGAAGAGGCATAGAGGCAAGTACCCTGGTGGTAGCATTAGCTCACTCATTAGCCCATTAGATGGTTTAACTTGGCAGAGGACATGAGGGACCAGAAGAGTGTCACCAATGAGTGGCTGATTTAAGACCTCATGAATATCGACTGCCTTGCATATATGTAGTATGTCATACAGATTTTATGTGTGCCTTGTATGTTTAACGCCTCTTGAATCTTGGGTCACTCTTTATCTTCCTATCTCTTTCCATCTGTTTCAGCACACGGAAGCACAACTTTATCTGTAGTAATTTATTTATCTATTCTAAACACATCATCCATTTCATTATTTTCATGTCTTCACTACCATAATTGAATTATTGTACATTATAGTTACAAAGATGATTAAGATGTAATCTTTGTTCTCAAATAGCATATAGTCTATAAGAGGAGATGTGACAAAAATATAGCTATGGGACAAGGCAACTTTGAACTTTGGGGTCAAGTAAGTAGACTGTATTTTGTCTTTGAAGCACCCCCTACCTTCCCTTGTGCCACACTTCCCCTTCCTGTTTCCTCAGTTCCAGATGAGTTTACATTGCCCCACTTCTTGTGTTATACAGATTTCATAAACTCATTTTTACTAAAGTATTTGGATTTAATGTGTTGTATCTGCCAAGAACATCAGCATTTAAAGTGCCTAACACAGAAGAGTTACTTGCCAGTAGAGTCAGTATAGTGTAGTGTTTAAAGCATTGGCTCTGTTGGCCATCAGATCTGGGTTCAAGTTCTGATTCTGCAAGCTTACTAGCTCTGTAACGTTAGATGATTTACTCCCCCTCTCTAACTTTTAGGTTCCTCATCCAAAACACAGGGATCCTTAGAGTACCTATTTCGTAGGGCTGCTATGAAAATTGAGATAATGCATTTAAAGCACAATGCACATAGTAAGTTGTTAATATTGGTGTCACTATTTCCGTAGGCATTTCACACCAATTGAGGATAGATTTACAGATAAGAGAGGTCATCCTAAGCCCTCAATACATACTAAGTTAACAACTTCCTCTAATTAAGCATCAATATTAACCAAGTTATTTAAGGACAATTTTCTGCTATTTCCAGTGTTGGCATCCTTTTAGTCTTTCTGATTTCAATGGCAGCAGAATTTAAATCAGGAGTGGACAGTCCCGTCCCAGAGATCACTTCACTTCGGCACCTGTATCCCCAGACTGTCAGCCCAGTCCTGAGGACACAGGAAGAGCATTTGGTGTGGGGGGACACTCCCAATTTGACGCAGGTGTCTCAGACTAAACCTCAAGATAATGATTCACATGCCATTCTTCCTAGTTTTGGGCACAGTGACTAGACTAGATTCATCAGGTCAACACAGATAAGTATTGTGTCATAAGAAGTTAGTACTAGAAGGAAAGAATAAAATCAATCCATTGGTTTCCAAACTTTTTATGTGTGTGGTGGCGGTAGCATCTTTATTCAACAAAAGCTTATGCAGAATGCCAGTAAACTGATAAAAGTGGAGCTATCAGATTGAAGCAGATAGGGGGCCTGGAACTCCTTCACCACTTGGCCTCCCTTCCTTCTTTGAAGTCTTTTCCATGATCCCCTAGGATTGTGAAAAACACAATTTGATAAACACTAATCTAATCCCTTTGTTATGTGGTTAGGAAATTGGGTCTAAACTTTGCCCAAGGTCACTGAACTAATTGAGGCACAACCTGGCCTAGAATGCCTTAAATGCCTTGGTTGGTTACCATTAGTGCTTAAGAAGATGCAGTTGCTTATAAAGTATGAATTGAGAAGTTTAGTATGTTCTTTTCCTATCCCTAAATCTATTCCCAACTCCTGTTATATTTAGTTTAAGGATTAGGGAAAGAGTTTAGAAGCCTGTGTAGAAGGCTTGGGTGGGACCACTTCCTGGCCAGAAGATGCAGGGATCCAACTGGCAGGTGTAGGGGTGATAGGCTATGGCGGGAGGGAAACTTACAGAGAGGGGTAGTGGAAAGCCTCCAAGACTGGCTACTCTCAGTTTTGCCTTGGTTTGGCTTTGTGGATGATCTTTGCAGATATGCTCTGCCCATGTCATGCTTCTTAGAGTTGAAAATTGAATGAAAATGTGAACTTTTTTTTCTCTTCCCCAACAGCTTGCAAAGAAAGTGAACAACATAGAGACAGGCTGGGCCTTGGGGGCCACCTTTCATCTGCTGCAGTCTCTGGGCATCTCCAACTGAGGCCAAACCCTTCCTCTGAGGCCTGCATTCACCAACAGCCTTTTTAAAGGGAGAAGGAGAGAGGACTCAGCCATGTTCTGAGCTAGTCTGGGGACAGCCTAGACTGAAGCCCAGCAGCTGGTTTCATCAGGAGTGAGGGGCTTTTGTAGACAGGTTTTGCCCTTAAGTCTAGAGATCTGGATTTAATTAATTTTACACATCTAATGTGAACTGTTATCTAACCATTCTGTGTGCACAGCTGGCACCAGAGTCTAAATCTTTGAGATTCCTTGTGTGATAGCCAAAAGGAACAGCTTTGGAACTTAACCTTGGAGAGCCCAGGGACAGGTCCCTGGAAACCAAAGAAAATTCTCATTTCAACCTTTTGAGTGCCTCATTCCTTTGAATATTTTAATTTTCCTCTTACCTGCTAAACTAAGCTGAATGATTGCAATCCCATGCCCTATCAATACCAGGTTTTTTTGTTCCTCCTACATTCTACCCTGTCCCACACTTACCTCCACCCATCTTCCTGAAAAAGTCTACTGTGAAAGCTACAAGTTTGGGGAGGTACACTCTTTTCATGTATAATTTAAGGGGGAGAAAAAGTACCATATCTCAAGTTGTGTGATCCTGCTTTGTGCTAGCTCCAATCAGCCAGCAGACAGCCATGCTAAATCTTAGCAGGATGGAAAGCAACTGTAACTGGGCAGATCCCAGTCTTAAGAAAGGAGGCCATCAAGTCTCTAGGGACGCGTTTTGGGAGGGTGTGTCTGCCTTGTATGTCACCTTTTTTTAATCAACTTTTTATCAGTCAATCCTGAGATTAATGAACATGTCTAACCTTATAGGAATGTGTGTGTATTCAGTGCCAGTACCTCCTAGCAGGCTAATGTTTATAGTAATTTGTCATCCTAAACTCGTTTTTTTTGTATGTCTAAGAAATAAAAAGTGGATTCTCTTTTTGAGTTTGAATACTCAGAGCTGTTGATTTTGTGAATTATTTCCCCTAAAATTCATTATCTTGCACTTTCCCACATGACCATCATCTGCTGCTCTCTGCCCACTCGAGTCTCTTGGATTTGAAAGATCTTCCTGTCATCTGCCTCCTCTGCCTTGGCTCTTTACCTCCAGCTCCTTTCCCGCAGAGTTTGTACCTCCCCAAACTTGTAGCTTTTACAGTAGATTCTCGCTTTCAACTTTCTCACAAAAGATATTAAATATACCTGGCCCTCACACCAGTTCCTGGGGAAACTTATTTTTTAAAGTTATTCCATTGAATCAATAAAGACTTAACATCTGATATGTTTAAGTAACTAGGCAAATTTCTACATCCTCAATCCCCAAATTTTGGATTTTTTTTTTAATTCAATGTGGAATTTCTTCAGAGTCTTCACACTGACTTTTATTATACAAGGTCACCTTTATACCTATTGTCTTCCTCAAAAAAATTGTTATACATAATGAAATAAAGTCTTTAGAGTTAGAAACAGCCCAGCACTATGATCCAATCTTCTACTCATTGCAGAATTCCCATAACATTTCTAACTGGTTATTATTCAGCTTCTATTTAGGCATGTTTTCTGATAGCTCATTCCATTTGGGGACTGCACTGATGTTAAAAAACCCCTCCTTATATTGAGCTGAAATCCAGCTTCTTCTCACTGGTCTTAGTTTTGCTCTCTTCTCTCCTTCCATAGCCTTTCAGTCTTTTGAAGAAAACTCCTCCCAAGTCCTTTATGGTCTCTTCTTTAATATACCACATGGCTTCTTACCATCTTTGTCAGAAAAGTAGGGTGCTAGAACCAATCATCATACACTAAATGTTGTTCCCATGATTAGGGAGAGACCATTTCCTCTTGTATTCCTCTCCTCTTGTTTTCCCAAGAGGTAATAAGCTGTGTTAACTAAAGACTCCTCCAGCTTGATGGGTCCAGAGAGGTAAGAGTCCCAGGTCTTTATACCACAGCTTGCCTCTGAAGCTTTTCTTATAAACCGGGGCCATGTGTTGCTCAGCATACTCCTTTGGTCATCCCAAATATCTTCAGAACTCTTGTGTAGATGCATTATATGCATAACTCCAGAAATTCATCTATACGTATTTTGATAATCTTATCAAAAGAACATCTGGAGAATTAACCAATTTATCCATTTTAAGAACAATCTGAAGTGACAATTTATATTTCTTAGGAAAAATGATTTGTCTATAATGTCCTTTCTGCCCCTTAGTGTACCTTCTGGGCCTCTTAAGGGGTCCTACAGAGTCTAAACATTGCTGGTTAAGTTACCTTTCTGTAAATGTGTTTATATACTTCAACTACTTAGGACATGGCCTGGAACATAGTGGATGTTTGTTACCATCAGCATCTGAAGAACATCCTCTATGGGTTATAGAGGTCCTTGCAAGGTGTGCCTTAAAATTCTTCCTATCTTACCTGGTTGTGATTGCATACATTTGGAGAGTCCATGTTCTCCTTATCTGGGTTGCCTTTCTATTTTTTGATGAAGGATGACCATTTCTCCCTACACTGACCTTTCTGACTCTGCCAGTAGTCAGTCACATAGCTTTTCACAGTAACTGCTATCTTTTATTCTGGGCACATTTTTCCTGAGATTCCAGGAAGGTTTGTGACATTGTCACTTTTTTACTCTCGTACCTTATAAAATTTCCACATTTGCCTGAACAGCTCCCCTGTGGTAACAAACTTCTTATGCCTTCAAAAATTATTCCCAGAGCTGGCCCTGTGGCCAAGTTGTTAAGTTCGCGCACTCCGCGTCAGCAGCCCAGGGTTTCGCCACTTCGGATCCTGGGTGCGGACATGGCACTGCTCATCAAGCCACGCTGAGGCAGCGTCCCACATGCCACAACTAGAACGACCCACAACTAAGAATATACAACTATGTACCGGGGGGCTTTGGGGAGAAAAAGGAAAAAATAAAATCTTTAAAAAAAAAAAACAAATCTCTTCAAGAGGCATCTCTGATACTGTGAAGGTAGCTCTACAAAAACCCACAGCAAAACACCGTGCCCTATGCCCAAGTTGGCCACCTGTCTGCCACCAAATATGAAATTCTGCTGCTAATCAGAGTTTCCCTTTTGACCTAGTTCCTGAGGTCTTCAAACCTGTGCAATGAAATTATTTATCATTTTATTACTGAACAGACAGTGGTGTCCCAGAGAGGAACTATAAATAAAATTGAAATCTGGTGCTGTAAAGAGGAAGTAATAACTAGCATTAATAAGATGTGGTTTTCTTTTCAGAAAGTCCAGTGCACCTATAACAAAGGTTAAAACAATCTGTTTAATTTGCATTCTAATGTTAATCTTAAAACAGCAATTCTAACAAAAATGTATCAAATATTTCTAATTGTCTTTATCAAAAAACCCACAATTGTATAAATTTACAACCAGCATAAAAAAAGCCAATTGTATAAATCTCTTTAGAAAGGATTGTCAACAAGTGAAAATGAATGAGACAGCACCTCAATGATTTTTGTTTTAGTAATAAAAAGCTCTTTTCAACCAAATCAGAAGAGTCTTCCTTTGGGTTTTTTTCTTGACTTGGTTGATATGTCCTCCTCATAGCAAATTATCACTCATTTTCGGAGTCCACAGGCCCATTAAGCAGAGGAGAAAAAGAGACTGGAAAATTCTAAGGTTAAGTAAATTTATTAAATTAAATTAAATCTTGAGAATATATGATGGTCTTGGGAAAGGATGTTCTTTTGTCATCCACATAATCTCCAGAAGGGGAGCATTCATTTGCTTGCAAAGGCCATAATCTGTTCCTGGAGAAAAATGAAACAAAGTGAGTGATAAACTCTGACACTAAAGTGTGAGGGCAGGTAAAGAAAATACTTTAAAATATCCAAAGTGATTAAAGCAAAAACTTAGCAAAAGATCCAGACAGATACCTCCCAAAAGTTCCTCCAAAGTGTCTTTAAGGGGAAGTTTCTCAGGAAAGAAGCTGGCCAAGCAGCAAAAGTAGCTTAAACATCTTTATCTTTAAAAAATCCCTACTGACTACTTTAAGCCCTTCCTTATATAAAGGTCCTGCTTAGTTGTGGGCCCGAGCACCCACAAGCCCAGCAAAGACTCTTTGCTCATAACCACTGGGGAAGGTAGACAGAGACCATAATTTTATAGGCAAGAAAATTAATTCAAAGAATTTAACAGTCATTGGCAAAGTGAATCCTCAGCAAGATTCTTGGAGAGCCGTAAGCGCCATCTTACTTTGAGTGGAGAGACTGCATTTGTGGCCTGCAAGCCCCACGTCCTGAGCAGCACAAGTGGAGTGGCATTGGTGGAGTAGAGCCGTTTTAGCACATCAGTAGCAGCCAGAAGAGCAGTGTTGTGACGCTGTCTGTCTGTTTCATAACCTGTGAGGTGGCTCATGGAGCCTGGAGGAAAGAGGACAGGTTAAATCCCTAATCCAACAGTGAGCTTTTCTTTCCTAGCAAACCAGATACACTTATGTCCACCACATCTGGCTACTGAGAGCCATTTTGGGGTCCTGATCTTCCCTAACTACATTACTTCTGGATACTTGTTTAAGATACCTGAATCCTTACCTAAGTCTTTCCCATTGAAGGCTGCAGTACTGAGGTGGTGGACCAAGCTGGAGATATCCCCAAAGCCCATGTTGACCCCTTGTCCTGCAAGTGGATGGACTCTGTGGGCTGCATCCCTATGAATAAAGAAAAGTTCAGGTGTGGCCTCCAGGAGCAGAGTGAGACGGGAGCAGCCCTGCTCTCTTATTATCTTACCCAATGAGCGCCAGCCGAGGCCGGACGTACTCAGCAGCATGTCCCAACCCAAGAGGAAATAGTGCTCGGCTTTTGGCATCCACCCTGGCTACACTTGGGGGCAGCTGGCGAGCTGAGACCTTAGTGGGCTTCAGAAAGGCAATCGCATAGTGCAGCATGGTGCCAGCTGAGTCGATGAAGTCCGTGTGGTTAACATCACTCCACTGAACAGCATCAGCCACAAAACAAACAAAGTAAAATTTCATCAGTGACTAGCAGGGAATTAAAAATTCAACAAGGAAAACTTTTTTATAACCAAAGCCAAGGATAATGCTACCTAACATGCTTAAAGTGATCTGGACCACAAATGATAAGCCCCTCAAACAAATGCAAAACATAACTTCCCATCACTCCTCACAGATTTTAGGATCAAACTGCTCACCAGCTGCCCCTGCCTACCTCTGAACTTCACCTTTCATTGATCCCCACCCTCAATAACCATATGCCAACCACAGTGTAGCCCATTCTGCAACATCTCCTTGCCTCTGACATCCCCCTCTGCTTAGAATGTTCTCCCACTACTAGTTCACCAGGATAACATCTCAGAGCATCCAGAAGCTGTCACCTCTGTTTGTAAACCTCCCTCCAAACCCTGCTGTGCTCCCATAGCATCCTATGCATACTTCTACCACTGTACTGAAATTGTCATTTATTTATCTTTCTCTCTCACTTGACTACGAGCTTCCTGAAAGCAGGGACTGTGTCTCATTTGTCTCTCTATCTCCAGAGCCCTCTACATAGAAGGCACTTGTAACTGTTGCTGAATGAATATGCTGCAAAGGCCTGTGCCAGGAATATATGCTAAATGACTCAGAGAGGGGTAGCATTCACATTTATCTTGGAAGCCACTTCAGTATGTTCAGTTCCTTTTATGCTTATTGCTACTACAGAGCAGTAGAGCTCAAGTAATTCAGCGTAAACCAGTGTGAAGTCATTAGTAAGGTTGTGCAGTTCGGTGGTTAAAAGCACAGGCTCGAGGCCCAGTCTGGTTTCAGAATCCAGCTTTGCCACTTGATGTATGACCTTGGGTAAGTTACCCCTCTCTCTAATGGGCCTAATAATAGCACCTATCTCAAAGGGTCACTGAATTAAATACACAAATACACACAGAACTCAGCGCCTGTACCTAGCACGTAGTAAGCACTCAACAAATGTTACCAATTATTACTATTAGTGA